TTGTAATTCAAAACAAGTTAGCGTAACCACCATTTACATTCACGTGTGTAATTAATTAAGCTATTCAAAGAGACGTTACTGTTACAAGACCACTAGTTTCACTATAAAAATATTAAACTCGACATAAGTTACAAATGTTAAGTAATAATAAAAGTAATAATGTAATAAATAATTTTCAATTTGTATTACTAAAGATATAAATTATTCCTGTTCGTGTCATCATGTTGAGGACCGCAATCTGTGGAAAGTATTGGGAAAGGCCTATGCCCAACAGTGGGCAGATAAAGGCTGTTGATGAAGATGATGATGATGATGATGTCATGAAAATGAAATTAGAGTTAAGGAATTGTTACAATAGTTTTGATAAAACTTTATCTGAACCAGTATTGTTCTGATACCTTCTGATTTGTATTCAAATGTTACGTAATATTACAATTGCGATAATTATATGTTCTTGTGTAGAAATAATAATCATATCTTACTAATTTGGTGTTTTTAAATTTAGAACAGATTTAAAACATGACTATGTTCTAGACTTAGAAATACGCACAGGCTTGCTAAGTTTATTTTTAATGCCTCTAAGTAACAAGTATAAAGTATACTATACTAGAGATGATAGAAAGTACACATGCTAAAACTTTATTTTTTCTTCCCCTAACGAGTCTTGGATAAACCAAAAATAGTAAAGTTGTAGCGTGGCATGTTAGGTTTCGAATAGATAATACAAATCTTATTATGTTGTTATTGTTACTGTTCTTTATCTTATTAAGTACAAGGAAAGATGATTAATCTCATGTAAGGCGACTTATCTTCAAACTATAAAATGTACACATGCGTTCTACTAACAGAGATAGTAAAGTAGATTTCCCTTGAGAATCTCTCGGCTGTATTTTAAATTACTGAAATTCTATGACAGCTTAAAATAATATTCACGAAACTGTGGCAAATTCTTCGACATGTTTAACATCTCAAATATGTTTTAACAATGTACTAATTTTATTTTTAAAAATATTCGCAAAAACTTAGTTAATATTGTAACAGTAGGTTTAAATTTAAAAGACGATATGTTAACGTCAGAGCTAGAAGAATTAAAAATAAAAGATAAGTTAGTTAACTAGAGATAGGCTCTACAGAAATTTGTTATTGACCAAATTGGCGATACTTTAAAGAATGTTGCCAAGAATCTGTATGTCAGCTTTTATACATAGAAGTATGAACATATACAAAGCACGTGAGATAGGCAGCTGTTACGAGATTCTTTTGTTTAATAAATATCTGCCCATCCTCATTGAATAGCTGCTTATAGCTATACTATAGTCCCTTTTTTAACATTGCCTACTCGGTTCAATTAACAAGGTACGTAATTATGTCATTAACTTTTCTCATTTCAAGAAGGTAACCGTTTGACCGAAACAAATCTCCATATAAAATGGCTTTTTTCGAGGAGGAAATGAGTCATTAAGGAGCCGGAGAACACTTCGCCTCAATAATTGCGGGATGGCGCCCCGAGGTGACAGCCCACCTCGAATTAACCCCCTCAGTGTTCC